CAGTTGTGGCTGATTTGTTGTTGTTTTACAGAAGCCCTCAGTGTGTGTGTGGTTGTGTTGTGTGGTGTGTGTGGTGTGTGTGTGTTGTGTTGTGTGTGTTGGCGTGACAGCCGGAGAAAGCTGGCTGCTTGTAGTGTAGATGCTGGACAACAGCGTCAACACAAAGGGACTGTTCTCTGTGAAATGACACAGTGTGGAAGTAAGTACAGTGACATTACAGCGCTGGAGCCAGTTCTCCATCCAAGACCCCCCGTTGTGGCGATCAAACGCAGCCCGACCTGTTGTTGTTTTAATTGTGTCTACGGCCGACGGCGCTGACGACACACACGCACACCCTCTGTCCTGTTTTGGGTTTGTGAGCGACTTCTCTCACAGGAGGGAGGAGGAGAGGGGGTCGTGAACCTGAGGCTCCTCCACTTATTTTGGACTCCTGCTCATTTATCGCCCGTCGCACAGGAAGGGAAACACTGACGCGCCACCTGACACATCACTACGGCGAGCAGCAACAACTTGGCTCCTGTGGACATGTTGGGACCGTGACCAGGGAATTTCCCACCTGACTGCACACGCTCTTTAAAGGCTGCCGCCATTGCACAAACCCCGTCGTGTGTGTGTGTGTGTGTGTGTGTGTGTGTGTGTGTGTGTGTGTGTGTGTGTGTGTGTGTGTGTGTGTGTGTGTGTGTGTGTGTGTGTGTGTGTGTGTGTGTGTGTGTGTGCTATTCAGATCTGAGATCGCCTCTCACTCCTCTTCTCGAAACACACACACCTCTGCCGCTGTGAGGCAGGTTTAGCAGCAGGATCTATGACCTCGCTGTGTCAGTGTGTGTTCAGTTGTGTGTTGTGCACACAGACCTGTGTGCGTGTGCACATCATCTCAGTAACACTTTATGTGTACACATCCTATTTTCTTGGGAAATCTCTTCATAACTTCCTAAAAATGATCTGATTATTTATCTGTTAATTATTTAGGATATTTCTCAATATAATTATGGGGGAAATGGAGAAAGTGTCAGTTGCTATAGTAACGGCTCGTCATGTTCGAGTTTTAATAAAAAGATAAAATTAGAAATGATTGAATAGTAGAGATGAAAACAGACCGAGTTTCCTGCAAATAAAAAATCCTTAAAATAAAGTGAGTGGCTTTATTTACAGGTCTGCTCTGTGAGAAGGAAGAAAAGAGTTGTAAGTTTAACTGCTGAGTGGATAAAAGTATTATGGCACCGAGTGTGTTTGATTCTTTGATCCTTCTTAGTTTGAAACACTAAAGAACAGAATTCCCTGTTTTATTCCTCCGCTCCGGCGACAGTCGCAGCTTGTTCAGGTCGTCCGTCTCATGCTCGTGGACACGTTACACCTCCAGGGAACTTCTTCAAATTTAGCACAAACGTTCATTTGGACTCAAAGATGAACTGATTAAAATTTGGAGGTCAAAGGTCAAAGTTCAAGGTCACTGTGACCTCACAAAACACGTTTTTGGCTGTAACCAAATTCATTCACTAATTATCGAACTCAAATGTTTTATAAGGATAAAATGAAGTTACGACATTTCATATCCAAAAGGTCAAAGGTCAACTTCACTGTGACATCATAATGTTCTCAGGAAGGAGAGACTGTGACCATTCTTCCTGTAACGTTTGGAGGAAACAACCATAGGAGTGTATTCTAGTTTGGTTTTTAACTCGCACATAATGAAGAATTACTTTTAAAACGATGAATATTGAATTAGCTGTGAAATATGGGACCTGTAAAATAAAAACATCACCATCATTTGTATTCTGTGTATCTGCTCTGAGACCTCATGCTGTGCAGTCAGATGAAATCTCAGCCACGTGCATCAGTTCAGCCTCTGCGTTGTCACACTTAGTGTTCAGGTCTGACTCTGCTGCACTGACAGGATCAATAATTATAATCAGTCTCTATTGATCTGTCGTTGATAGAGGAATGTCTCCTGTTTATTCACCTCTCCTCTGACCTCCTCCCTCTTTGCAGTGGAAACAGGACTCCACCATGTTTAACTTATATACCCAAACTTCATGTTGGGTATGAACGGCACTAACACTAAGCATTAAACACGTTTTAAATAATATTCATTTTAATTGTATTTAGTTCTTATTTAATCTGTAATTTATCAATGTGAAATGTACAAATATTTAATAAATGACGAAACATTGCTCAGTTTGATTTCTCCAGCTTGTGCTTGCTGTCTGCTGAAACCAGGCGTCACAACGACTGATTTATTACATGATAATCATATAATTCTTAGCAAACAGCAGCTCTAACGTTTGCATCTCAACCATTGGGTCTCTATCAAAAGCCATGTATCCCAGATTTGATATTTAACAAGACTTGCTAAGATAAATAAACCACCTGAAAACCCAGTGGATATCGGAAAAAAAAACTCCTGGGCATGTTGAATGTCACATTGAAAGCCTGCGCCAGGGTTAATAACGTGTACTGGGTTGCCAGTGTGGTGATGGGTGTATATAGGAAGCAATCGCTAGCTCTACATTGTTTTGTTTGTTGTTTTACAGAGACTTTCTGTGTGTGGGTGTGTGTGTGTGTGTGTGTGTGTGTGTGTGTGTGTGTTGGCGTGACAGCCGGAGAATGTCTGGCTGCTTTGTAGTGTAGATGCTGTACAACACGGTCAACACAAAGGGACTGTTCTCTGTGAAATGACACAGTGTGGAGGTAAGTACAGTGACATTACAGCGGCCTGGAGCCAGTCTCCGACCCCGTGTGGCGATCAAACGCAGCCCGACCTGTTGTTGTTTTTAATTGTGTCTACGGCCGACGGCGCTGACGCACACACGCACACGCCTCTGTCCTGTTTTGGGTTTGTGAGCGACTTCTCTCACAGAGGAGGGAGGGAGAGGGGGTCGTGAACCTGAGGCTGCCTCACTTATTTTGGACTTCCTGCTCATTTATCGCCCGTCGCACAGGAAGGGAAACACTGACGCGCCACCTGACCGACACTCGGACACGGCGAGCAGCAACAACTTGGCTCCTGTGGAATGTTGGGACTGTGACCAGGGAATTTCCCACCTGACTGCACACGCTCTTTAAAGGCTGCCGCCATTGCACAAACCCCCTGTCGTGTGTGTGTGTGTGTGTGTGTGTGTGTGTGTAGTGTGTGTGTGTGTGTGTGTGTGTGTGTGTGTGTGTGTGTGTGTGTGTGTGTGTGTGTATTCTCAGATCTGAGATCGCCTCTCACTCCTCTCTCTCGAACACACACACCTCTGCCGCTGTGAGGCAGTTTAGCAGCAGGATCTATGACCTCGTGTGTCAGTGTGTGTTCAGTTGTGTGTGTGTGCACACAGACCTGTGTGCGTGTGCACATCATCTCAGTAACACTTTATGTTACACATCCTGTATTTTCTTGGAAATTTTCTTCATAACTTCCTAAAAATGATCTGATATTTATCTGTTAATTATTAGGATATTTCCAATATAATTATGGGGGAAATGGAGAAAGTGTCAGTTGCTATAGTAACGGCTCGTCATGTTCGAGTTTTAAAAAAGATAAAATTAGAAATGATTGAATAGTAGATGAAAAACAGACCGAGTTTCCTGCAAATAAAAATCCTTAAAATAAAGTGAGTGGCTTTATTTTACAGGTCTGCTCTGTTGAGAAGGAAGAAAAGAGTTTGTAAGTTTAACTGCTGAGTGGATAAAAGTTTATGGCACCGAGTGTGTTTGATTCTTTGATCCTTCTTAGTTTGAAACACTAAAGAACAGAATTCCCTGTTTTTATTCCTCCGCTCCGGCGACAGTCGCAGCTTGTTTTCAGGTCGTCCGTCTCATGCTCGTGGACACGTTACACCTCCAGGGAACTTCTTCAAATTTAGCACAAACGTTCATTTGGACTCAAAGATGAACTGATTAAAATTTGGAGGTCAAAGGTCAAAGTTCAAGGTCTCTGTGACCTCACAAAACACGTTTTTGGCTGTAACTCAAATTCATTCACTAATTATCGAACTCAAATGTTTATAAGGATAAAATGAAGTGACGACATTTCATATCCAAAAGGTCAAAGGTCAACTTCACTGTGACATCATAATGTTCTCAGGAAGGAGAGACTGTGACCATTCTTCCTGTAACTTGGAGGAAACAACCATGAGGAGGTGATTCTAGTTTGGTTTTTTTAACTCGCACATAATGAAGATTTACTTTTAAAACGATGAATATTTGAATTAGCTGTGAAATATGGGACCTGTAAAATAAAACATCACCATCATTTGTATTCTGTGTATCTGCTCTGAGACCTCATGCTGTGCAGTCAGATGAAATCTCAGCCACGTGCATCAGTTCAGCCTCTGGTTGTCACACTTAGTGTTCAGGTCTGACTCTGCTGCACTGACAGGATCAATAATTATAATCAGTCTCTATTGATCTGTCGTTGATAGAGGGATGTCCCTGTTTATTCACCTCTCCTCTGACCTCCTCCCTCTTTGCAGTGGAAACAGGACTCCACATGTTTAACTTATATACCCAAACTTCATGTTTGGGTATGAAGGCACTAACACTAAGCATTAACACGTTTTAAAATAATATTCATTTTAATGTATTTAGTCTTATTTAATTGTACATGGTGATTAATTTATGTGAAATGTACAAACTTTTAATAAATGACGTAAACATTGCTCAGTTGATTCCTCCCAGCTTTTGTCTTGCTGTCTGCTGAACCAGGTTTCTACAACTGACTGATTATTACATGATTAATCATATAATCTTTAGCAACAGCAGCTGTAACGTTTGCATCTCTAACCATTGGTCTCTAATCAAAAGCCATGTATCTCCAGATTTGATTATTTAACATAGTCTTTGCTAAGATAAATAAACCACCTGAAAACCCAGTGGATTATCGGAAAAAAAACTTCCTGTGCTGATGTTAATGTCACTTTAAAGCCCCTCCAGTGTAAAGGTGTGTGTCCATGTGTAGTGTGA